AAAAAAAAAAAAAAAAAAAAAGAGAGAGAAAATACAACCAAGAAATGGAGTGTTTATTCAGAAAGAGTCACAAAAGTATTGACAATTGTTTGAGATCGTGAAACAATTGATCGGAGTATACACGCCGATCATGAAAAGGCCTCTGTTCGCAATTGAACGCCGTTCAATTAAGGAACGACTTCCAGTTCGCGCGGTGGTTTATTTCCGCGCTAATAAATCTCCAATACTGCGGTCGGGATGGATTGGAAATAAGTGGCGAGAGCGGCAATTTTATTTGGAATGGGCGGCACCAATCTTGGCGGGGCTGGATGAATGTGTATTCGATGAACAATGCTGGCAAGGGGGTGCAACATCGGCCCGTCATAAATCTAAACGGTACGAATCTCAACGTTTTATGAATCACTCCCTGTTTTTGCTTCACCTTTTCTCTCTTTTTCGTTAAACGCAAATTATCGGCGCATTATGATTCAATTAGAGAATGTCAGGGGATGTCGCTTGTTTCTTATCTCTCCAAATAAATTACATCTCAGCCTCCATTATTATCACTTTATCGTTCGTAGAAGATTTTTCTCAGAGATTTTTATTATATCGAAAAAAAAAAAAAAAAAAAGGCAAATACATGGTGAGATTATATTTTTTGGGAGCTTGGCGCCGGATTCTCGTCGACGACATGATACCAGTTAACGAGGAAAAGACACCACTTTTACCTAGAACTGGTAACGATTTCGAATTGTGGCCCATGCTTCTTGCAAAGGCCTTATTGAAATTGTGCTCCTTGACATGGACGGACTACTATGAAATCGTGGATTTCCATCCTGTTGCTTGCTTAACTGGTAAAGTAATGTTGAACAATTGTCTTTCTAAAACAGCAGGGTAAAATTTAATTAAATAAAAATTATAAATCCTTCGTCGAAAATACCATCCGTTTGAATAAATTAAAACAGAAACATAAAAATATTACATGTTATCTTATTTCTCTGTCATGTATGTATTATTTGCCTCTTGTTGAACGTAGGATGGGTTTGTTTGCGATTGGAGGTGGGATATCTATCGCCGCAAGATAAATGGGACTTTCTGAGACAGTACGCGGATCACTTCGAATGGGAAGCAGAAGTCACGGAAGAGGAAAGCCAGGGTTAGTCGTGTCTCCTGTGTTTTGAAACGCTTTGTAAAAGCAAAAGCTTCGAGATCTAGGAGAAGTAAAGAGGGAAAATTGTCTAAAGAAACGGTGAAAACGAAAAAATCCAAGGACACGAAAAAATCCACGAAAACCGATCGATCGACCAAATCGAAGGAGCTCAAGGCTTTGACCAAGCCAGAACCAGTCACCCTGTTTCTCGGCTTAGAAGACATGAATAAAGTTTCGCCAGATATTGTTCCGGAAATAGCACCTTGTTGGGATCATTTTATTTACATAGTTCAGTCACGTGACATTCCCTTGGATCTGAGAGACGTACGACACACAGCCTTTAGAAAGTTAGGCATATTAAAATGAACGACGTTATTCGAAATAAATAAGAAATAAATGATAGGTGAAGCCTCCGTTGGCAAGATGGAAGCTCCATCGTTGGTTAAAATGGGCCATCAACGAGGGAACAATCGATCCAGTCGAATACTTCGTACCGATCCGATCGTTGAAAGTCGTCAGCCCTTTGAGAAAATGCGAGCAGAGCGTAATTAACAAGTACAGTGCGACAACTATGGAGGAAAATCTTCGAGACGGTGGTGGTATCGATGAAACAAGTCGGAAAGATAAGTCTCGTGAAACGTCGATGGAACAGAAGAAAACCTCGACAGAATCGTCGGAGGATATTAGTTTCTGGGCAGATTTCAATAAAATGGAACCGTACGTGAAAGACGTTCACTTCTTCTACAAGCTGGATTACTTCCGATACAGCGCGAAGTTGTCGGACCGATTTCCACCGAGACAGCCAAACGACGAAAAATCTGAAACTAACAATAAGATAGACAGCAAGAAAGGTAGCAGAAAAAACTCACCGTCCAAAGCGGCAGCCGAGAATTCGGAGTTCATCGACGTTTACAGCTGGCCCCAGAAAATGTCTAGAACCAGAAACGAGCCTCTGTACGTCTTCGCCGATTCGTTGGAAGGAAAGTTCTTTCTCATAGAGTTCTCGACGTTCCAAGTGTCCGTCGAAGTGTTCGGAAACGACGACGATCGCGCCGCGATCCCAACGATTAAACTGAAGGGAAATAAGGATTGCTTGAGCGTGGAAGAGCACTGCTGGTTTCGCAGACCGGAGAGGTCCAACTGTTTCGTCCGCGTTTTAACCGCCGGGACAAAATCAACCGTGATGGAACTAGATCGTGGGAGGCATCTCTTGCAAATTTACTGTCACTCAGAATCCGATTGCTTCGTGTCCATCTCATCGGATACGGCTTTCTACGTTGGAGACAGGCGAAGGATGTATCAACTGATGTGCACGGAGTCTGAAACCATCGATCAGATGATGAGGCACATCAGCATCTCCGTCAGTAGAGCCTATCAAGCGTTCGGCACAGAGAATTACCCGGGAGCCTTGAAGATTTATTACAGCAGTTACTTGCCACCGATCGAAGACCGAAAGAAGGAGTATAAGATGTTCTACGATCAAATACATGGCTACTTTGTTGACGAACAGGTACAATTAATTAGGAAAATCATGCCCGAAGACGAGGTTCCGACTGTTCTACGAGCTCTGAGAATATTTCTCCTGAATCACACTGTCGGCTTAGAATGCTACAGCGCTATCTCGATGCTGCTGAAGAATTCACGAAAACTGAACGCAAGAGGAAGTTTGACGATGGATGAAAAATACGCCGTTCAGCATAACGCTGCAGCTATTATTCAAGCGTTCTTCAAAATGATCACTATCAGGAAATATTTAAGGGTACATAACCCCCGTCACGAACAACACGAGCAAGTTTCGCGGAGCTTAGTGAAAGTTGCGGAGCTGTATAATTACAATAAGGGAGAATCTTTAGCTAATCAAGTGCTGAGGAATATTTTGAAGCATCATGATAAATTGTACGACGTCTACCACTGCTCCAGGGACTTCGAGCACATCTTGCAAGCGCAAGAATTGAAAGGGACGTTGACAAACGTCACGGCAAATCAGTGGCTGCCTGTTGTAAGACTCACGGTGAATCCTCCGTGCTCGGAGACAGTCCTCGCCAATATAGACTTGTTCGTTAATCTACCAAAATACAGCGTACGCGTGTTTAAGAACGAGACTGGCGAAGAGGTGCTGCGATTGGTGAACAACGTGGTCCCAACTCGTTACGAGCATGAGAAATTCGGTTACACTCTCTTCTGTTACGGTTGGAGCGAAGATCAGACGCTGAAAGAGCTACCTTGGTCCTTAAACATAATCACGACGAAAGGTCAACCAGTGTTCCATTTTCTAATGGACGAAGTATCCTATCTTACGATCAACGTGCCTCCCGTATTGGTCACAGAAGAATTATCCAACAGTTACGTTCCCAATGCGGGAAATTATATCTCCAAGTGGATCGTTCGAGTAGCGAAACCCAGCGTGGTGTCGTTTAGACTGAGAGTATCGTACGAGAAAGTAAGGATGAGCTTGAGAGTGACAGACGAAGAGGGTCAGGTGTTGTCGCAAACAAAAGGTACTTCCGTAGTCATTTTACCTATGGTGTATCTGAAATTCCAACGGCGATCTACTGAGATCATATTCCAAAGGACCAAGATCGATGATGAAAATTCCGGTGAAGAGAAAATCGATAGCAACGAAGATAAAAGTAAGGACGATCTGCTACGTTACACGATTTATCACGTGGAAGCTTTGGTGCTTGAAAACAGCTGGCCACTGACTAGGGCAGAATGGAGTCTTGTGTCAGAGTTCAAGGTGAAAGCAACAGGCACCGTCGTTAAAACGAAAATGTCACCTTTTTCGAACACGGGAAGACTATCAAAGAATGAATCGTTCAGATCGAGGAAAGTTTCGAGGCTGCCTGTTCAAAGTGTTCCAGCTGTCGAGTCGCCTTATTGGGTTCTTCAAGTGGTTACCGATTCTGGGAGTGGATTAGAGGTACTGGACAACGTAGTTTCTACATTTTATAATCTCTTGACCGATTCTGAGAAAATAGCTGTCAAACGTTGTTTT